CCATGGGCTAAGCGGCTTGGCAGCCTGAGAGCTATGCAAATGAGAGATTTAAATAGAAGAAAGTGGGGGTGCGGTGAGTCACCCCCAGGGGCTGGGGGGGGGGCTGGGCCTATGTCACAGGCACTCGCAGCTGCAGCAGACCGAAGTATCACAGTAACAGACGGCACGGGCTGGTACCAAAGGTCCTAGAAGACTTTTCTTGTTTTGTTTGAAATTTGGGACACACCTGTCAGTGCTCAGGGATCACTCCTGGTGGGCTGGGGGCGGGGGGGGCATAAATGATGCCGGAGGTAGAATCCAGGTTGGCGGCGTGCCAAGCCAAGGCGACACGGCCCTGCTGTGCTGTCTCTGGCCCCATAGAGGGGCGTGGACAGATACAGATCAGCCCAGTCCTTCCGCTGGAGCCCAGGGAGTGGGGCAGTGGCTTGCCTTCCGGTCACTCTGGTGCCTGGTGACAAGTGTGGATGGCACATTTGTTCCAGAAGCATCGGGGACTTGTGTACTGGCCCCTCCTCCACGGTGACCAAGGGGTGGCCTGTCGGCTCCTGGGCTGGACATGGGCTCCTGGGCCTGACTCAGAGCTGGAAACGGCCTCTTGGTGGCTCTGTCTGTGTTGGGCTGGGTTTGCCCACACCCGGTGGTATCCCTGGCTACTGCTGGCTGGGCGCTGGGGCATGCTGGCAGGACATGTCCCCATCCCTGATTTATTTCGCATCCAGACCCTCTTCCTTTCCTTTCCTCCCTTTCAGGTTCCCCCCCGCCTATGCTTGGGTTCACTTGTGGTGATGCTCGGGGGACCATCTGGGAGGCTGTGGATTGAGCCTGGGTTGGCTGTGTGCAATCTTCCTCTTTCTTGATCTTACCTGTACCACGTCCTTAATCTTCAAAGTTTAAAATTTGGGCCAGAGAGTACTGTGTGTAGCGCGCTTGCCTCGCACGCCGCCTACCCAGATCGACCCCTCACCCCATATTGTCTCCTGGACACAGAGCCAGGAGTAAGCCCTAAGCACTGCTGAGTGTGACCCCCAAACCAACGCACACATGCATGCACACAAAACGCACACATGCACACATCCCTTTTTCCTCTGTGGACACTTCCTCCTGTGGGCACTGGACTCGGCCCCTTGCAGATCGCTTCCTCCCACCTTCTCCTGCCCACCTGGGCACCTTCGCCTTTGTCTCCGGCTGGGGTTTCTTCTGCGCCGAGCCCAGTCTGTGTAGCGCCTGGGCGCACTCCAGAACCGACTCAGCCCCTGTGTCCCTGCATTTCCTCCTCCTCATGAAGGGCTTCGGCTGCCGGTACCCCAGTGAAATCAGACTCCTCCAGCTCGCCTTTTCTGTTGAAGGACGCGGCTCAGATGAATCATGAGCCAGGGAGAGTCAGTGCCCAGAAGCCTCCCGAGATTGGCCTCTCAGTTGCGTCTGGGGTGGTGTGAGCCGTGGTCTGTGGGGGCCAGTGGGTGCTCTAACCGGCAGAGTCCCTGCTGATGGGGCTGCCTGGGGCTGGTGGGTGGGTGGCCACGCACATCTCTGTTCCAGGCGCCAGGCCTGGGCTTGTTTAAGGGTTTGTGGGTGCAGGCCTGTGTGGGGCACACGGGCCGCGCTAGCCTGCTCGGAGGTGCTGCTGCCTTTCTCCAGGCTGGCTGATTTGCTTCTCTGTGCCGGGCAGGCCTTGCTGAGCTCAGAGCAGCTGGTGTGGCTGGCACAGACACCTCAGCCAAAAGGCTGGTGAGCTGAGGCTGGGTGCAAACACTCATGCCCTGTCCGGGAACAAGCCACTGGGTCCCTGTCACTGTGTCGGCACAGGGTGTTGCCACTGTCCCTGTCACGTGTCAGCGCAGGGTGTCATCACTTCCTGTCACCGTGTCAGTGCAGGGTGTCATCACTGTCCCTGTCATCGTGTCAGCATAGGGTGTCATCACTGTTCCTGTCACCATGTCAGTGCAGGGTGTCATCATTGTCCCTGTCACCGTCAGTGCAGGGTGTTGTCACTATTCATGTCACAGTGATAACATAGGGTGTTGCTGATGTGTCCATGTCACCATGTCAACACAGGGAGTTGCCCCGAGCCTCCCACCCCATTTACACAAGGTGTCGCCACTGGGCTCGACCTTCTGCAGAGCGCGAGGGCCACCCATGGTGCCCACAGCAGCACCAGATTCTGGACACAGGCATGCCCCCTCCAGGCTGTCCCCAGGCCCTGTGACTTTCCTGCCACTGGATTCTGCAGCTCCGTGGCTGCTAGACAGCGGAGTTCTGGAGGCCTAGGGTGACCTTCACTGTGAAGTTCCTCCTTTTCCCAAAGCAGAACTGCAGATTCGGGCTGCAGGGTGTGCAGGGGGAGGGTTCGGTTCCGGGCACCTTCTGTCCCGCAAACCTCCAGGTGGGGGCCCGCTCATGAGCGCCCGGGGGTCTGCAGAAACAACAGTTTCCTTTGCCTGTCTCCTGTCTAGTGAGGGTGTTGGTGACGGTGTCTTCATGGTGGGAGACCCGCAGAGCCAGTGGTGCTGGCAAGGGCGCCGGCACCTTCCTCACCACCAGCCCTGCTCAGTCCTGCTGTGTCCGGCTGTGCCGGGGCGGGCCTGTGCCGCCTGCCTGCCAGCTCAAGGTGGTTTGCACATTTGTTCATGGTTGGGGGGATTCCAGACAGTTTGCTGACGCAGGCATTGTGTGCATGACTCTGATTTCCATGTCCAAAGCCAGAGTCTTGCTGGATGCCGCTGTGCTCTGGTGTCTCTGCAGAGCTCGGAGATAACGCCGTGTGTGTGTGTGTGTGTGTGTGTGTGTGTGTGTGTGTGTGTGTGTCGGGGGGGGGGGCTGCAGGTCCCCTGACTGAAACTGTAGCCCGGGGGTACCGCCAGGAGTGACCCCAAACAGTTGGCGCGACATGAGGCAGGGTTGGCACAGCAGGAAGTGTCGCTTCCCGCTCAACGTGGTTTAGGAATTTTATTCCAGAAATCCCAGTCACTGGCTGTTGGCGCGGGAGACTCAGATGGGTCGAGTGTCCTTTGCTGAGTGATGTGTCTGTCAGCTGAGAGGACACACGTGGAGCCACACCCCCCACACACCCCAGCATCGCAGTGCTCGGGAGTTGTCTGTGGGCTGGCACAAACTCCTGGTGGTGGTCCCTCATTCTCACACGCTCATTCTTTCTTTGGTGCTGTGCCCTCTGTGGAGCTGGTTTCCAGTGCTCACAGGACCCCTACTGCCACCTACTGGCGCTGGGCCTTAGGACAGTGTCCAGCACGGCTGCTAGACTGGGCAGGGCCCTGCTCTCTTCGGAGTAGAAGAAATGGCTTGTTTTCCCAAGTGGTTGCCAACTTATCGGAGAGCACTTTGCTGGGGTGGGAGGAGGGAAGTGTGGCCTCCCCTGGGTCCAGCCCCAAGAACCTCGCCTGCTGGCTGCAAGCCTGGTAGTTGGGTACGTGCTTGGGTACCCCCGGTCCCCGTGGGTTGCACCCAGCAGTGGAGAGGCGACACCTCAGCTTCTTGTGCACGCAGCCCTTCCAGCATCTCCCAGGCCTGACAGTTCTTTCTGTGTTTGTTTCTTGTTTTGGGTGGCCACACCCAGCAGTGCTCTGGGCTCAGTCCTGGCTCTGTATTCGGGGGTCGCTCCTGGTGGGGCTCAGGATACCATAAATAGGGCCAGGAATTGAACCCAAGTCGGCCACATGCCAAGCAAGACCCTATCTGCTGTTCTAGCTCTCCAACCCAAGAAATGACATTTATTTTGGCATGGGCCCCTCACAGAAACCCAGGGGGATGTGAACCTGGCTTTGTAGGCCTCTGATGGAGGACATCTGGGGACCGACACTGGCACGGGTTCCCAGCCCACCTGCTGAAGTGTGCCCAATCACCGTCTGTCCCCAGTGGTCATTTTCCACATGGCAAGAAGTGTCCCAGTGACCATCTTTACACAGGAAGTGTCCCCAGTGACCTTCTTCCATATAGGAAGTGTCCCCAGTGACCATCTTCTACATGGCAGGAAGTGTCCCCAGTGACCGTCTTTCACGGCCAGACCTGTGTCAGAGTCGAGGGTCATACCAGATAGCTCCCGTGGACCCGGAGGGTGTGCGGCAGTTCCTGCCAGGGTCAGCCCCTTTCTAGTGGGCTGTGGGTGGAGCTTGTCATTCTCATGACACTAGCTTTCCTGCCGGTGACAGGTGGGCAGCCCCCCTGCAGACATCCGAGGTACTGGCTTCAGAGTGGAGGAGGGACGCGGCTCGGCCAGTGAGTCCTCGCTGGAGGCCTCCCTGGAAGCTGGGCTTTCTTTTCCGCTGAAACCTTCACTGTGTGGTGTAGAGAGGTGCCAGGGAAAGTGGGTTTCCTTTGATTTATGTAGATTGTTTTTAGGTCTGGGGACACGGTCTGGCCATGCGTGGGCTGATTCCTAGCTCTGTGCTCGAGGTCACCCTGGAGAGGTACAGCCGGGACAGTGCCGACCCCAGGCAGATCCCTGAGCCATGTGGTTTTCTGAGCACTGCCAGGTTCGGCCCGAAGCCCCCCAAAACAAGACAGAACAAGCCCCTTGAACCTGCTCCCGGCGGCTTGCGGCTCCCACTGTCCCGGACCATGATGGACTGTGATGGCGCCTCCCAGGACTCAGGCTGCAGGTCCCCTGCATGCTGGGGGCTTGTTTCACTTTGGGGTCGTAACAGCTGCTGGTACAGCCTTGGCGCCTGGCTGCCCCTGGGCCCGAGGTCCGCTGGGTGCGTCTGTGTGGTGCTTGGTTTCCGCTCGTCCGTCCATCCTTCTGTTTTCCAGCACCACACGGGCTTGACACTGGGCCCTGCTGTTCTGGGCTGGAAGCTGCCTGGTCTCTCTGCTCTTCCCTTACGAAGTGTAAGAGAGCCTCGCCTACCACACAGACCCAGTTCCCGCTGTCTGTCGGTCCTGTGGCCTCTCTGTCCACAGCTGGGGTCCACTGGCCAGCACAGAGCTGCGGGGGCGCGGGGGGCAGCCCTGTCCCGCTCAGCGGCTCTGCCTGTGTCCCCCCGCAGGCCTATGAGAGGAGGTTCCCGACATGCCCCCTGATCCCCATGTTCGTGGACAGCGACACTGTGAACGAGTTCAAGAGCGAGGACGGGGCCATCCACGTGATCGAGAGGCGCTGCAAGCTGGACATCGACGCCCCACGGCTGCTGAAGAAGGTAGGGGGTGTCGCGGGCGGGCGCGGCGGGCTCAGCTCCCGCTGCCGTGGGCGCGGCAAACACTTGCTCCGCTTCTCCCTTAGATCGCAGGAGTCGATTATGTGTATTTCGTCCAGAAGAACTCGCTCAATTCCCGGGAGCGCACTCTGCACATCGAGGCCCATAATGAGACCTTCTCCAACCGGGTCATCATTAACGAGCACTGCTGCTACACCGTGAGTACCTGGCACGGTGCCCACCGGGTGCCCAGAGCCGCCTCCACCATTGCTTGTGTGACTTTGGGCTCTTGCCCCGACTGACCCTTTTGTTCACTGTTGCCTAGCATGGGCGCCCCCTGGGGACGCTGCAGGGATGCAGTGGCAGGTGGGCGTGCCAGGGCCTTGGATATGCTGGGGGCTCTGTGATGCTTTGGAAAGGAAGGCTCCGGAAGCCGGGGGCACAATGGGGACGTGCAGGAGCCTGGTCAGCACCCCACCACACACCTCCCCCTACCTGGACCCCCAAGCCTAGAGCTGGACCGAGCCCCTGAGCACGGCAGGTGTGGCCCAAAGCTCCGGAACTAACAGAGCAAGAAGGTGGATGTCCAGGGTGTCCTGGAAGGGGCAGTAGCCACAAAGTGTGGGGACCTGCTTTGGAGGGAGGGGCCCCAGTACTGGCGACCTCCACGTCAGAGCCACAGCCAGGTACTTCCTGCCTGCCAGGTGCTGGTGCAGAGCCACGGCTCTCCCCACAGTGCTCACTGACTTCAGTGCTCGGGGCCTCTCCCAGAGGTGCTGGGGATTGGTCCGAGGCCCCACATTCCTGGCATGTGCTCCAGCCCTTTGGCCCAGAGTGTCCGGGAGCTCACGGGTCCCTCGGCTTTTGCCCTCCCCCTTCCAGAAGGACCTCCGTGTCCAGGCCAGAGCAGGCCCCACACGGCCCGTCTCCCAGGCCCACAGCTGTTGTCTGTACTGGCTCAAGGCCTCAGTGCCCTCCAGCTCCCAGCCAGCACCCAGCACCCCAGCCCCCCCGAGTTCTGGGCACGTAGGCACACACTCATGCTCCACAGACACCCTGGCCTATTCCGCCTGTTCCCCTGACCCGGCCTGGCCCGCGTGGCGTGCGGCTGCTGCTGGGTTGGAGTGTGTCTGGGGGCTCCTCACGCACTTGCTAGGGGACAGTGGGCACGCCTGTCTCGGCCCTTCCCAGCCCGTGGTGTCCCCCAGCCTGTCCACAAGCTCACCCTGGTTCTGGCGCCCCCCCCCCCCCGCCAAGCCGCCCCAAGGGGCTGCTCCGGTGTGCTGCGGTGCCTGATTGCGCCTCCTTTCGCAGGTGCACCCCGAGAACGAAGACTGGACCTGCTTTGAGCAGTCTGCAAGCTTAGATATTAAATCTTTCTTCGGCTTTGAAAGTACAGTGGAAAAAATCGCCATGAAGCAATATACCAGCAACATTAAAAAGGTGACGCTCCCGGTCTCTCAGGACAGCTCCGGCCCCGCCTCCCTAGCCCCCAGCCCACCCCTCAGCTCATGGTGCCCAAATGGTGCTGGTCGGCTAGAGCTGTAGGGGTGTGGGGAGCCAGTGACCAGGGCTGGCCCATAGCCCCGCAGTGTCCCGAGCCTGGCCTCGAGCCCATGGGCGCCTCCATCTGCGGGGTCCGCGCTCATGCGGGCCGGGCATCTAGTGGGGGGCTGGCGCTGCGGGCGGGCGGGGGGCCTTCTCAGAGACTCGCTCTGCCTTCAGTCTTGGGCAGGGTCCAGGTGGGCTGGGAGCAGCCTTGCAGGCTCGGGGCTGATTTGGCTGCAGCCAGGCCTGGGGACACTCACGTCTCATGACACAGTGTTGTGAGGCCCTTGGGAGACGAGGAAGCTAAGCGCATTGGCAAAATGCAGAAGCACAAATGTTGCCCCAGGCCTGCCCTCTGCACATGGCTTCACCGCCAGCAGTGCCCTCTGCTGGTGCGTCTGGCCGCGGGCACACTCACCGCCGCCCGTTTCTCTCACAGGGCAAAGAGATCATCGAGTACTACCTTCGCCAGCTGGAGGAGGAGGGCATCACCTTCGTGCCCCGCTGGACGCCCCCCTCCACGCTGCCGTCTTCCGAGCTGCCCCCACCGAGCAAGCAGCAGCCCGTGCCGTTGGCGGCGGTGGCTCCGGACACTGCCCAGAAGGAGGGGCCGGTGACCGAGGCCCTCAGCAACCCCAGCGGGGCACCCGAGCCCCTGGGCGGGACCCCTGACGGTGGGTCCCACGGCGAGGCCAGCGCCACCCGCGCGTTCATTTCTGCATGGCTCACCCACGTGCTCTTGCTCCCATAGGCCCCGGGGCCCCTGGCCTCCAAGTAGCCGTTGGTGTTTTTTCTTAGTGTGAAGAAGCCTCAGTGTCCCTTTGAGGCAGGCGTGAGTGAGGGCAGCTGCCCCTGTGCTGGGCCCAGCGAGTGTCCTCACAGAGGCCGAGGCGCTGGCAGGGGACCAGGGGCGTGGGACCCGCACCCTCCCCGGGGGCTGCTCGCGGCCTCCCTCCCTCTTGTGCTGGAGGTCGCTGAGGCCCAGAGATGCCGAGGGGGCTCCTAGAGGTGCACAGCGAGGGGCCCGCTCCGGGGCTGACAGCCGTGCGTGGCCGCTCGTGGCTGTGTCCCACACGCGACACATAAGTGTGTTCACGCGTGGCGTGAAGCTTAGCGAGTGTACTCTGCTGGTGTGAGGCGCGGAGGCCGTGCATCCAAACCAGAGTGTCGGCACGATGGTGACCGTGTGACCAAGCTGTAATGAAAATGTAAAAATAAAAGTGCACGTTCAACATGTTTCTGGTTCAGAAGCAGCTGGGGCGGGACTGGGGCCTCTGCGTGCTCTTGTCTCCGCGCAGTCCCTGGGCCCATCTGTGCGGTGGCGCCTGGCGGGGTGGGGTGGGGGCGTCGTCCGCCTCCTTCACTTGTTTTTTGTTTGGGGGCCACACCCAGTGGGGCTTGGGTCACTCCTGGGCCTGACTCAGGGATCCCCCCTGGTGGGCTTGAGGGATCATTCGGGAAGGCGGCGTGTAAGGCCGGTGCCCTCCCAGTGTCTTGTCGCTCTGGCCCCTTCTGACCTTATTCCTGACAGATGGGCGGGGACCACAGGGGGCCTTTCGCGCGGTGCTCAGGCCACTCCCATGATTCTCAGCTGCGAGGCCAGTAGCCAGTGCAAAGGCCCTGCATTGCAGAGACCACTGGCCACCCTGGACAGTGCTGGAAGGGGCTGGTGGGGCCAGGCAGGGTCACCGCTGCGGTGCTGGGCCCGCTCAGGCCTGCCACCGTGCTGTCCCCTGCCCCAAGCGCACGGTCACTCAGGGCTGGAGGCTGTGGGACGTCACGGGGCTGGGCTCTGAGGGACACTCGCCCTGTGACTCTTGCAGACAAGCTGGACACCGACTACATCAAGCGTTACCTCGGGGACCTGACACCGCTGCAGGAGAGCTGCCTGGTCCGGCTGCGCCAGTGGCTGCAGGAGACCCACAAGGGCAAAGTGAGGGCCCCCCCCCCGCTCCCCAGGGTGCTATCATTGCTAGGGGACCTGCATGGCCAGGAAGGTCCTCACAGCTGTGTGCACAGTGGGGGCTCATCCAGGCCCTTCCCCGAAGCCCAGGAGCCCTCGGCCTTTGGAGCTGAGTTTGCCCAGCTCAAGTAGAGAGGGTCACTGGGGACCCCTGGGGGTGAGGCCCCGGGTTTCCGCCTTGCACCGCAGCCAAGCTGAGCTGCTCTGCTTGTGTTCCCTGAGCACTGTGGGGGAGCCCCCCCAAAAAAAAATGATTTACGTCTTTGCTGTCTTCATTGCTGAAATTGGAATGGAGTGCTCTAAAGGAATTGTGACTAAAATGGAATTCTACAGAAGACATGAGCAGTGCGTGACGGCCCCAGGGCCCACCCAGGGCTCTAGCCAGCTGGGGCTGTGGGTCCGAGCCAGGCTGTGGTGCTGTGAGCCCCTGCAGGACCAGGATTCCCCCCCCCCCCCCCCGGCTGCTCAGCGATTCTCAGGGTCAGGGGTCGGATTGGGGTGGGGGCCAGCCCCTTCGCTCCTGTGTTAACTCTCAGCCCTGCTTTCCCTGTTTATTCTGGAGGATTCTTCTGGGTGACAGCTTCTTTTACGTGACTCGATGACACAGAAGGACTCCAGAGTCTCTTTCCTGTAATGACTAGGAGTTTTCTCCTGGTGGCTTTTGGGGACTCGGGGCCAGACCTGGCGGTCCTCGAGGGCTGCTCTCAGCCCTGTGCTTGGGGTGGCTCCCAGCAGGGCTCAGGGACCAGACCCCGGGCCTGCAGCCCTGAGTGACCGCCAGTCCCGCCGCAGATCCCAAAAGACGAGCACATCCTGCGATTCCTGCGCGCCCGGGACTTCCACCTGGACAAGGCGCGGGACATCCTGTGCCAGTCTCTCACGTGGCGGAAGCAGCACCAGGTGGACTTCATCCTCGACACCTGGAGTCCCCCCCAGGTCCTCCAGGACTACTACGCAGGGGGTTGGCACCACCACGACAGAGGTGAGGTACCGGGGTCCCTGCACCCCTGGGGGGCGGGGTGCCCTCCGCCGCCTGTGGACGCCGGACCAGCCTCCCCTGGTGCCTGGGTGGGCCCCTGAGCCGGAGCTGCGGGCTCAGAGAGGGCTGGGGGAAGCCTGTCCCCTGTCCCCTGTGCTCACACCCTCCCCCCCCCCCCCCCCGCAGATGGGCGGCCGCTGTACGTGCTCCGGCTGGGCCAGATGGACACCAAGGGGCTGGTGCGCGCCCTGGGCGAGGAGGCGCTGCTGAGATACGTGAGTGCCCACGGCCACGCTGCGGTCAGCAGGGAACCTGCCACGGTCTTGGCCGCTGGCTTTCTCGGGGAAAGTGCTAGAAACGCTGGTTCCTGGGAGGCGGCCACAGTGCCCCTGGTGGGGCAGCTGCGCCCCTGCCGCCATGCTCGGGCCCCTGCTGGGCTGCCCCGACCCGGACCCCAGAGTGTCCTTCAGCAGGAACCAGTGGACATTCCTGTGAGAAGGTGCGGGCCAGATCCCGTGTCCCGTGCCGGATTGTCGCCATCCTGTGCTTCATTAGCACACGTGCCCCCACACATGTGCCACGTGTGTGCTGTGTGGTGTGCCCATCCGTGTACTGCTGTACAGTATGTCCAGACTGGCATGGCCTGTGCCACTATGCGGGACTGCCGCAGGGCAGAGAGTGGTCAGGGGGGCCACAGTATCCTCGAGCTTTCTGTCTGACAGCCCTTGGCTCCGTGGACAGCCCCAGTGTCCCTCACTTCCTGTTCTGGCCGGGGCACCTGTCCGCGGGCCACCTCCCACCTGGCATGTCGCAGAGGACAGAGCTGCCTCTCCCGGGCCGGGCTCCCCTCTCCTGGCACCTGGTTCCGGCAGGGAGGGCCTCAGGAGCTAGACATGGACCCTGCGGTGGCTGTGCTGTCCCGTGCCCTTGGGGCCCCCTGCCGTGCGTCCAGCTGTGGCCCCTTACCTGCAGGTTCTGTCCATAAACGAAGAAGGGCTGCGGCGCTGTGAGGAGAACACGAAGGTCTTTGGTCGGCCTATCAGGTAGCGCGACGGGGCGGTGTGTCCACCTCCGCCGTGCGGCTGCTGCCCAGCTGGGGACCCCTCCCGCCTCCACCAGTGGGGTCCTGGAGTGGGTGGGGGCCATGTTTTGGGGGTTGTGCGCGTGAGCTGGGGCGGCGGCGGCGAGTGGGCCCTGAGCACCCCGCTGCCCCCGCAGCTCCTGGACGTGCCTGGTGGACCTGGAGGGGCTGAACATGCGCCACCTGTGGCGGCCAGGCGTCAAGGCACTGCTGCGCATCATCGAGGTGGTGGCGGCCAACTACCCCGAGACGCTGGGCCGCCTCCTCATCCTCCGCGCGCCCAGGGTCTTCCCGGTGCTCTGGACACTGGTACGTCTCCGCCACATCCGGCCCCAGGAGCGAGCGAGCCCGTGCGCCCCCTCCCATGGCGCTCACCCCTCCCCACCCTGGGCTTTTCTCCCACAGGTGAGTCCGTTCATCGATGACAACACCAGAAGGAAGTTCCTCATCTACGCGGGCAACGACTACCAGGGCCCCGGCGGCCTGCTGGACTACATCGACAAGGAGATCATCCCCGACTTCCTGAGCGGGGAGTGCATGGTGAGCGCCCCCCCCCCCACCTGGTTCCTGTGAACGTGGCGGAGGGACCTGGTGTCTGCGAGCGGCCACGGTGCTGGGGGTCCCCGCCTCCAGACAGACTCAGGTTCTGGCCCCCCTTACCCGCTTTGGGCGCGTGTGCGCCAAAAGCCCTTTCACTCTCTGGGATGCTCAGTCGCTTGGGTCAGGCGAGGCCGGCCGGAGCAGGTTGCACATGGCCGTAGAGTGGGGCGCTCCGACCCCAGAGTCCCCCGGGCCACCTTAGGTGTCTCCCGCCCACACGGCCACCCCTTTGTGTGCCCACGGCTTTGCAGACACATGAAGTCTGCGGTAGCTTGTGGCGACTTGTTCTTGCTGACTTTATTTTTTTTCTTATTTTTCTATTTTTTTGCTGTTTGGGCCACACCTGCTGATGCTCAGGGGTTACTCCTGGCTCTGCACTCGGGAATTACTCCTGGCGGTGCTCAGGGTACCATATGAGATGCCGGGGATCGAACCCTGGTTAGCTGCGTGCAAGGCAAATGCCCTCCCTGCTGTGCTATCTCGCAGTGCCTCAGTGACTTTGAACGCGTGGGCTTGGGGTTACGGGTATGGGTTTGCATGCTCCCACCGGACGGTGCAGAACATCCTGCACCCCACGGTGGTTGCACTGCCCGTCTGGGGCTTCCGTGGGCGCCCGTGCTGCCGCGACCCTCACCGCCTCCTTCCTCGCCAGTGCGAAGTGCCAGAGGGCGGGCTGGTCCCCAAGTCTCTGTACCGGACGGCGGAGGAGCTGGAGAACGAGGACCTGAAGCTCTGGACGGAGACCATCTACCAGTCGGCCAGCGTCTTCAAAGGCGCACCCCACGAGGTAGGAACCTCAGCCCAAGCCCCCCGACTCTGACTTCAGGGGTCTCGGAATAGAGGGAGATCCCACATACCCCTTCCCCTGACTGTCTGGGGCATGAGGCGGGTGCTGGCGGCCCGTGCCCAGTCCGTGTGCGTGTGGCCCTTGAGAGCCCTGTGCCTGGTGCGGGCCGAGTGGGTAGCTCAGGCACTGCTTTGGCCATCGCTGGCCTTTGCTGCGGCTGAGAGGCGGGTCCTGGCCCATTGGAGACAGGCGAGGGCTGACTTCCAGGGGGCTCCGGGTGTCTGAAGACACTGGGCCACGTACACTCTCTGAATCTGAGTTACACTCAGCTCCCTGGGTGCCGAAAGTCCTGGGGGTTGGGGCTCTCCCTCGGGCCACTTTGCCAAGGAGAGAGATGGGCCCTGGGTGGTCGGTGGCTGTACTGGATGATGCTGTGGTGAGGAGGGGGTGTCCGAGGGGAGAGGGGGTCTGAGGGGGTGGGGGTCTGAAGTGAAGAGTGGAGTTTATGGCGGGTCTGTGTGTCGGTGTGGGGGTGCTGAGGAGCAAGGGTCGCGTGTGGACTGGCGGCAGCGAAGCCTCATTTCCTTTCCTCCCTCCTGCTGGAAGCTACTCACACCCCCGTGTGGGGTTTCGCTCCTGGGTGGGCCACAGCACCTGGACTTCCTCCAGGCGGGGACCCCCTCTCCTCCCCAGGCCCATCTGGCTCCCTGGGAACCGATCTGGCCGTTGGTTGGCGTCGGGGTGCCCTGGGTGTGCACGCGTGGGTGCTTGCGGGGCCGCGGGTGCAGTGAACTCGGCGGCTCCTTGCGGCTCTTGCAGACACGCGTGGTCGGGGCCAGGGACGCCGCGGGCGTGTGTGGGGGGGGGTGGAAGGAGTCAGGGGCTGGGGCGGGTGCGGTGACGCGCTGCTTCTCTAGATCCTCATCCAGATCGTGGAGGCGTCCTCGGTCATCACGTGGGACTTCGACGTGTGCAAAGGGGACGTGGTGTTCAACATCTTCCACTCCAAGCGCTCCCCGCAGCTGCCCAAGAAGGACTCGCTGGGGGCGCACGGCATCAGCTCCCCCGGGGGCAACAACGTGCAGCTCATCGACCGTGCCTGGCAGCTGGGCTGCGACTACAGCATGGTGGAGGCGCCACTCACCTGCCGGGAGGGCGAGAGCGTTCAGGTAGGGGCAGGGGCGCTGCCTCAGGGCCTGGGGTCAAGCGGGGGCGGGTCACCCGTCTCTCCCTGGCCTCCTGGCCCTGCCCTGGGCTGTGGCGCCCGCCCACACCCACATCACCGCCGCCATGTCCCGCAGGGCTCGCACGTGACCCGCTGGCCCGGCTTCTACATCCTGCAGTGGCGCTTCCACAGCATGCCCGCCTGCGCCGCCAGCAGCCTGCCTCGCGTGGACGACGTGCTGGCCTCGCTGCAGGTGTCCTCGCACAAGTGCAAGGTCATGTACTACACCGAGGTCATCGGCTCCGAGGACTTCAGGTAGGCCGGGCACACGGGCGGGCAGGCTGCGGGGTGGGGGGGCGGCCGGGCCGGTGGGGCGCTCACCGGCTCTCCCCGCGTCCTGCAGAGGCTCCATGAGCAGCCTGGAGTCCAGCCACAGCGGCTTCTCCCAGCTGAGTGCCGTCACCACCTCCTCCAGCCAGTCCCACTCCAGCTCCGTGATTTCCAGGTAGTGCCGCCTCGCCCACCCGCCCGCCCGCCCGCCGGAGCGGCCGCCAGCCAGCGCCGCCACCGCCTCTGGGTTAGCGGGAGCCCCTCCCGACGTGACCTGCCCCTGAGCCCGGCCTCGGGCTCCTCATAGCCATAGGGTCTGTCCGGGCGCCATGGTCACCGCCCAGGGTCCCACAGTCGTGTCTGTGCCAGTGAGAGGTTGACTTTGTCTCAAACACTGATGCAAAAAATCTGCCCAGCAACCTCTGTGCCGTCCCTCAGAGCAGGGACTCGGGGGACCCCGCTGTGCCCCCGAACCAGCCTGCAGCCCTCGCCTCTCCCCTGTGCCCTCGATAGCCACTCACCCCAGGTAGCCAGCCTCAATGCCCCCCAGGTGCCCGGGCTCTCCCTCGCGGGCACCCCCAGCACGGTGCCCGTCCGCGTCCTGGCGGGGCCTGTGACCGTCCGCTGCAGCCTCTCCAGCAGCTGGTGGCGCGGGGCCCGCCTGCGGCCTGGGTGACTGGGGGGAGCTCGGCCCCCTCGCCCCCTCGCCCTGTCCTGCCCCGTCCGCCGCGCCCTCTCTGCCAAGCTGATGCCTAAGGTTTGTCCAAGCTGCCCGTGGTGTCTGGGCAGGACCGCACGACCGCGTGAAGAGGTGCCCTGAAAGTGCTGGGCTGTGGCCCTCCAGGCCTCCCCAGGGTCGCCGGCTCCCGGGCCGAGCTGGGCACAGCCTTTGGAAAGAAGCTTCTTTGTCCCTTGCACCTGCGACCTCGTTCCCGGAAAACTCTGCCGGCCTAGTCAGGGCATCACCGCTGCCTGCAGCCAGCAGCCGGGGCCTGAAGGTGTGCCCGCCCCTTCTCTCTCTCCCTCGCTCCTCTCTCTCCCTCCCTCCTTTCCTCCCTCTCCCCGCGTCTCAGATGGCGGTTTTGCTGACTGCTGCCGATCCAGGGACCCTGGTAGAAACCCTCCCGCGGCCCCCTCGAGTCTCCTCTGACACTGAGCCTTTCACGCGCCCCGCGTAACCGAGGGGTCAAAGCACATCGCTGCGCAGCGCGCAGGGTTCCGGGCGCCGGCCGGCCGGGCGTCCCCAGCTCAGGGCGGTGGCCAGTGCCCTCCGTCCCCTCCCCGTGCCCCTGACTCGCCATCCCCGCCCCGGGGCGGTCACCAGGCTCTGTCCCCGTTACTGGTGTCTTAACCCCGCCCCTGTTTGCAAATGGACCCTGTGAATATTTTATAGACACTTTTCCTTGCTCCGGTAATGCAGGTAGAAACCGATAGTCTTCAGGTTTTTTATTGTTACCAATAATAAACGTGAACTGTTTGAAGAAAGCCGGGGCGTCTGCCTGTGTCTCCTTCAGAGCAGGGTCCTTGCGGGAATGGGGGCTGGCAGCAGGGCCTGGGGACAGCTGCATGGAGCAGCCTCAGACGCAGGAACTAGGGCTGCCGGGAGGAGGGAGGTGGGGCAGGGCCTGCCCCTGGTCTAGTGTGGCCCCAAACAAAGCCCCCAGGAATGGCCCAGCCCCACGCATCTGCCTGCAGTCTTCAAGGTCCCAGTGGGAACCCCACTGTGGTCTCGGTTCTGTCCCGCTGCTTCCAGTGCATGAGCGAGAGGGTCGTGCGTGTGGAGGCTGGTGAAGGCCACGTGGGCCTGCACGTGTGTGCCCGGAGGCCTGGGGGCAGCGGGCCCCTCCGACAGACCCCTGAGCCTGCACGGGGAGCAAGTGTGAGCAGCTGCCTCGGTTCTGCCACCCCAGGGCAGGGCTGCCACAGAGGTTGAGGGTGCGGGAGTGAGCGGCGCCAGCCTAGGCCTTACTGTGTGGGTCCCTTCCTGCTCAGCGCTGCCCGCCAGGGGGCCTTTGCCGCACCCCGCAGCTGGAACCCAAGTCCCCGGTGGCTGCTGAGGTCTGTCTCAGGGCGCAGGTGCGTGTCGGACACACTGGGGGACCAGGAAGGGGCAGCACGTCTAAGCTGTTTGCTTGAAGGACCTGGCCAGCGGCCAGACGTACCCTGGCCCCGAGAATGAACCAGATCTGGTATGTGCGCGTCCAGGCTGACGTGCGTTGTATCCACAGGCGCAGGTATACATACATGCTGTGTGCGTGCATGCATGGGCATATGTGTATGCATACATGTCATATTCACATGTGCAGGTGTGTGCCTGTGTGTCATGCTCACATGTGCAGGCGTGTGCGTGTCTGTCGTGTCCGACTGGCAGCAGCTGACTCTGGGACGGAGGAGATCCGGGACACCAAGGCTGAGCCTGGTCACTCTCCCTCTTTACCCGTCCCTCGGCCCTTGGGGACCTGGCCATCCTGGCAGGTGAACCAGCCACTGCAGGCCCGGAGAGCGGCTGTGAGTGAAGCAGGTAGCACCTCCGCTGGCCACCCTAGAAGCGCCCCACCCCACAGGGGGACCCCGAGGCACCTGTCATAGGCCACAGAGGCACAGCCGCCCCTGCCCTCCACTTTTTTTTGGGGGGGGGTCCCACTCAGCGATGCTCAGGGGACCATGTGGGGTACCTGGGACCCAATTCGAGTTGGCCACACACAAAGCAAACGCCCTCCCCACTGTGCTGTAACTGTGGCCCCAAGACACTATTTATTTTTTTTGCTTTTTGGGTCACACCTGGCAGGTGATGCTCAGGGCTTACTCCTGGCTCTGCACTCAGAAATTACTCCTGATGGTGCTCAGGGGACCATATGGGATGCCAGGGATCGAACCCAGGTCGGCCACGTGCAAGGAAAAATGCCCTCCCCACTGTGCTATCGCTCCAGCCCTTAAGGGTGGGGTGGGTCTGGCTTTCTGTGCTCTGAAGTTCATCCGTATCCGGTATTTCAGGAGCTTGTTCTTCAAGGGTCCCTAGTTGATCCGGGCTTAACATCCCAGATATACAAAGCAGGTTTTGACAGTGGTCCTGCATGGGTGAGGCTCTGGGTTCGATCTCTGACACCACACACACACACACATACACACATTCACGCACATCATACAGCAACACACAGGAAGCATGTGACTCAGCAACGGGAAAGCCAACAGCGTGTCAACACAATGGGCTGAAGATCTGGACAGACACTTCAGGGAGCCACGGCAAGGGCAGGGTCCAGGCTCCGACCCAGCGAGGAGCAAGTGCTGGTGGGTGTGGAGGAGACAGCAGCCTGTGGTGGGACGGGACCTGCTGACCCCTACAGAAATGGGGGGACAGCCCAGAAACTTAAAACTGGTCTTTAAAGGGCTGAGCACAAGCTTGGCATGCAGGAAGCTCACATGGTCCCCTGAGCATCCCAAGCACCCCAAGCACTGCAGCACATGTCCCCAAACCCTGAAAAACAAAACTACAATCAGAACCCCCAGAGTCGGTGGTTCTCCCGGAGTCCACGTAGAGATTGTGGGACTTCACACAGACGACAGCCACGAACCAGCTTTAAGGTAGTCAGAGCCGCACCATCTACCTGGCCCTTGGTTTTATTTGTTTTGGGTACCCGGAGGTGCTGAGATCACTCCTGGCAGGGCTTGGCGGACCCTGTAGGATTCCAAGAATGGAACCGGCTCAGCTGCATGCACGCAAGTGCCCTGTCTGCTGGACTATGGCTCAGGTGTTGTGTCTTCCTTGTGGGTTTGGGCCACACCCGGTGATGCTCAGGGTTACTCCTGGCGGTGCTCAGGGGACCCTGTGAGGTGCTGGAGACTGAACTTGGGTGGGCCGCGTGCAAGGCAAATGTCTCCCCACTATTCTCTCCTGCCCCCATGTCTTATTATTATTTTGCTTTTCGGGTCACACCTAGCGATGCTCAGAGGTTACTCCTGGCTCTGTACTCAGGAATCACTCCTGGCGGTGCTTGGGGGACCCTATGGGATGCTGGGAATCAAACCCAGGTCGGCCACATGCAAGGCAAACGCCCCACGCGTTGTGCTATCACTCCAGCACCACCCCATGGCTTATTTTTAAGGGACGTTTCTACACACCACGGGGAATATTGCAAATCTGACCCAGACTGCTGCAGGGACACAGTGACCAAACACCCATGTGCTCCTGTTGTAGCCTGCGCCGATGAGGAAACTGAGGCTGAGGGTGACAGGCTGACAGTTGGCACCCTGGCACCGGGGCCTGACACTGGCAGGCCCCGTGGTGGAGAGAAGGCGTCTAGCTCTGGGAGGATGAGGGGTCCCCGAGCCTGCTGACCACCCCCAGAACCCTGTGAGCCAAAGCCAGGGGGGAGAGGAAGTGGGAACGGCATGGACAGGGGCGGGTGGCGCCCAGTGGGTGCAGGCAGGAGAGGAAGATGGACAGCATGGAGGACCAGGGGTGGGGGCGCTCAGTGGGCGCAGGCAGAAGCCGTGTGGCCAGACTCGGGCATCAGCTGTGAGGGGCACATAGTCCTGCCTCGTCTCACCCTGGGGTTGGGATCCCAGAGGCGTCTGGGCTCTTAACTTGGAGGTCATTTTGGGGGTGGCTCCTACCTTCCCCACTTTGCTAGGGACCCTGCCCCTGTACTGGCTGTCTGGAAAGATGGGGCAGGGAACTCAATCCGGAGTCAGCTCTCACCATCGCTCTGTGGGCATCACTGGCCAGGCACTCTGCTCCCTAGGGAGCATGGGGGGGGGGTTGAGTGGGCAAAGTCGCATTGCTGGGGGACCTGGGAATTGTCAAGTGCTCACGGTAAAAAAAAGCCTCACTCAGCAGGGCCCCTCACACAGGGCGGCCAGTAGGTGCAGCCCTGGGGCATGGAGGTGGGTCCTGTAGGGGGCGCCACTGTGCAGAGAAAACGGCGTGAGGTGCCAATCCAGCAGGGGGCGCCACTGCAGAGAACACTGGGGATGGGGTGCCGATCCAGCAGGGGGCGCCACTGTGCAGAGACCACTAGGTATGGGGGTGCCGATCCAGCAGGGGGCACCATCGTGCAGAGAAAACTGGGCATGGGGGTACCAATCCAGCAGGGGGCGCCGCTGTCCAGCGACCACTCTGGAGCAAAAGGCAATGTTGCCATCTGCAGGCAAGTGGAAGGAATGACAAGGAACACCTGGGCCTTGTGGCTGGGCATCCAGCCCAGATTGGCAGGATTGGGCACGACGTCCC